TAGAAGTAGTTTATTAGGAGGATGGTGCTGTGGTATAGTGCGTTAAGCTGCTATTTGCACTGCCAGCATCCCATATGAGAACTAGTTCAATTTCATTTCCAACCCAGGTCCCCGCTACTGTGCCTGGGAGAGTAGTAAAGTTTGGCCCTGCACTCACAGGGCAGACCCTGAAGCTCCTAATTTTGGCCTAAACCAGTCCTGGCCATTCTGACCATTTGGGAAGTGAAGCAGCAGGTGGAATATCTGTTTCTGGTCTCTGAATTTTCAAATAAACAAAGAAGTAAATAACAGTAGTTTAGATGGTAAACTTTACGTTATATACAGTCTAACACAAGAAAAAAGTTAAAAGTAAGAAGACCTTGACTGAGGCCACAAACCACACCCAGAACACAATGAAACCTGGAGCCTCAAACCTGATTTCTCAGTGAAGGAAGACCTAAGCCTTGGGCCGCACCACCCGGGGGGACCTGGATGAAGCTCCAGGCCCTGGCTTCAGCTTGGTCCGGTTTGGCCAGCGGAGCCATTTCCAGTGAGCCAGCAGGCAGAAATCTCTCTCCTTGTCTAACTTTGCCTTTCAAATAAACACAACCTTTTTTTTTAAAAGATCTATTTATTTTTATTGCAAAGTCAGATATACAGAGAGGAGAGACAGAGAGGAAGATCTTCCATCTGATGATTCACTCCCAAGGTGACTGCAAGGGCCAGTGCTGCGCCGATCTGAAGCCAAGAGCCAGAAACTTCTTCCTGGTCTCCAGTGTGGGTGCAGAGTCTCAAGGATTTGGGATGTCCTCAACTGCTTTTCCAAGCCAAAAGCAGGGAAATGGATGGGAAGTGGAGCTGCTGGGATTAGAACTGGTGCCCATATGGGATCCTGGTGTGTTCAAGGCGAGGACTTTAGGTGCTAGGCCACTGTCCCAGCCCGATTTTGGTTCTTTATGATGTATTTACTTTGGGTCCAGCGTGGTGGCACCTGCATGGGAGACCCAGAAGGGGCTTTGGCTCCTGGCTTCAAATCGGCATAGCACCGGCAGTTGTGGTAACTTGGGAAGTGAATCATCAGATGGAAGAATTTCCTCTCTCCCTGCACTTCTCTGCATATCTAACTTCGTAATAAAAATAAATAAATCTTAAAAAAAAAAAAAAAAAGAACCAGAAACCAGGCCCAGCTAAAGTTCTTGTCTTGCACACGCCAGGATCCCATGGCTCATGTCCCATCCAGCTCCCTGCTTGTGACCTGAGAAAGTAGTAGAGATGGCCCAACAAGGCCTTGGAACCCTGCACCTGCATGGGAGACCCGGAGGAAGCTCCCGGCTTTGGATCGTTCCAGCTCTGGCCATTGTGGCCATTTGGGAAGTGAACCAGCAGTTGGAAATCTCTCCCCGTCTCTGCCTTTCAAATAAATTAAAACATCTTAAGAGATGTATTATTTTACTCCTGGGATTCTGGGGCCTCCACCTCTTTCTTAGTAGGGAATACCATTAAAAACTTCACAAATCAGACTAGAGCAGTTTCAAAGGACAGATGAAAAAGTTCCCTTGGGGCTTGGCTTTGAGGTAAAAAGGAAGGGTGGTTACAAATTCCTTTACATGCTCATTATCCTAAGAGTCATGAAAAGATTAGCTGCATGATTAACTCTTTAACAGCTGCTTTCCACACTCAACACACCTTCACGGGAGGAGCTTGTTTGCTGATAGTTAAGGCCCAGCTTTCTGACACAAAGTAGCCCACGGTAAACACTAGCTGTGAAATAATTAGGAGCTACCAAAAGCTTAACCAAGAAAAAAAAAAAAGGCCATTAAGGGTTTTCAAGTCCCTGTCTACTCCCGACCCACGCCCCTGCTGAACCCTCACCTGTCCATTTCCCGGCTTGGACATGGTTTTCCGGGCTCGGTGGACCTTCGGCTGCGCCTCTGGACTGGTGGTGGTGGCCGGAGGGGGCTCAGGCCCTGCTGCTGCGGCTCCCTGGGCCCCAGGCATACTCAGCAGCCTCATGGCCAAGCTCTGGACAGAAGGAGGTGACTTGCCCGCCCCTGTCATTGACATCTTGGCACGGCTGGGGCAGGCGCCCCCTTTGCTGGGGGACGAGGGGAAGGACTTGGTGGCATGGCCTAGGAAACAGGAGGGCCGGCAGAGGAGCCGGTGAGAAGGCAGGCAACGTCAGAAGGCTCCCCCACCCCGCGCCCCGAGGCTGCCCAGACGCTCACCCAGCAGCATGCGGCCCCCTGCCAGGTCTCCATCTCCCTCCAGAGTCTCGGGTTCCTCTCCAATGAACGGCGTGGCCCCGACCGGGGTGTCGGCCCCCTCGTCGCCCACGGTGACAGTGACAGAGGCCGGGGAGGAGGGACCAGAAGGCTCCAGGGACTCGGGGGTGGTCTTGGGTAGGGTCTCCTCGCTCCGGGGAGCATCCCCCAGGGCGCCGTGAACTGCGGAGGAAGAGAAAAAGTTCAGGGCTGAGGGCTCCGGGGACCTTGCGCTGGGAGAGCCGAAGGCTCCCGCCGTACTCACCTCTCTCGGCGGCTCCTCGGGGCTCCTTCTCCAGCAGAAGCGCCCCCATGTCGGCGGGGGCCTCCCCCTGGGAGGGGAGACAAGCGACAGCGGGCGGACTGGTCAGCCTGGGAGGCAGCTGGGGGGCCCAGGACGCCTGGGCCCTGGGCAAGGAGAGCAGGCTCCGGGGCCTACCTCTGCCTCGATGGGGGCCCCCCCGGCCGCGGCCGCGGCTGCCCGCAGGGGCCGCACGACCCCGGCCCCGGGCCCGCATCAACCCCCTCCCTCTCGGCAGACCCCGCATCTCTGGGGCCGAGAGCAGAGGAGGGGGAGGGGGCGGGGCCTCGGCGCCCCGGCCCCGCCCCCTCCTCCCGGCTGCACGCGCCGCTCCCCCTTTGTCCCCCAGGCCGCGGGGACCCCGGGCACCAACCCCTCCGGCGCCCGCGGCCCCCCAGCCCGGCGGACGGCCCCTCGTGCCCCTCGCGCGTGCTCCTGGGGGCCCGGCGCCCGCCGCCCACTCGGGGACGGCCGGCGGCTGCATGCGCGCCTCCGTGCCCACTCCCCCCACCTCCCACCCCCTGGTCCCCTCATCCGCCCCCGGTGCTGGCCCCCCGGTTTGCTGCAAGTCCCGTCCGGGCCCCCCGGCCCCGTTGCACCCCCGGAGCATTGCACGGGCGCGCGCTTCCCCCGGGCGCGCGCGCGGGCATGCACCCGCCTCTCCCCCTCCCCTTCCGCACCTCGGCGGCCGCCGCCGCTGCAGCTCCCGCCGCCGCCGCCATCGCCGCTTGCGCGGGGGGCCGAGCCGGCGCGCGGCCGCCCCGGGTCACGTGGGCGCGGGCGACGGGCGGGGAGAGGCCTTAAAGGAGCCGCAATCGCCGCCCGGGCCATTTTCTCCCGGACCGCCTTTGGAGATGGCCGCGCCTGGCCTAAGCTGGGGCCGCAGAGGATAATTCCTGCCCTTCCCGGCCTCGGCTCTGCAGGGTGCAAGGGTAGCTTTCCCTCCCCGCCTCGGCGTGGGTACCCAGCGGGGAGTCGCCTCTCTGCTCCCTGGCCTGCGTGTCCTTCCTCCCCTGCCTCTGGCTTTTCTTTTCTAATTTCTGGGTCACCACGCAGAAAGCTTGGCCGCAGTTTTCGGCCTCGCTGTCCTAAACGAGCAGGGAAAGGGGGAGATCTGGGCGCACAGAAGACGCCCTTACTATTGGCTGCTTCTACTGTGCCGCTCCGTATCCCCTTTTGAAAACCTGGGGTTCAGTGGGTGCCAGCCAGGCCTGGCACGCCACCACTCGCACTAGCAACCCAGGTGAGCCCCGCTGCGCTAGGCACTTGCTCTACGGAACCGTTTTTGTCACACTTGGTCAGCACGAGCTCACCCCGTGCTGCCCAGCTGGTAGTTCCCGTACGGATAACGTACAGCAACATACACAGCTCTCAGGGCATACTGAGGGTTCTGCCCTCTGAGGACTTACACACCGGCCAGCCTGGAAATGCCCACTGGATTTCACAAGCAGTATTTGACTAGAGTATGCGGTTGGGCACTAGGGTACCTGAGGCAAATTTAAAGCCTTCTGGGAACTGTAGTTCTCTTTGGCAAAGACCAACTCCTGAGCTTTCTGGGAATTGTAGTATTCTTGTACCCTGATCCAAACTTCATGGTTTTTGAAAGCTTTCCTGAAACTATGAAACCCTTTCCCCGGATGCAAACAAACCTAGATCCAGACTCCAGCTTACAATTCCTTTGAGCACCCCAGCCACCTGTAACCCAGCCCTGGCATTGGTACCATCTGATCCCAGGCATCACCAGGACTGCCAATTACTCGTGCTGGGAGGTATCTGGCTGGGGGCTGAGGGTGCAGAAGTGGCGGACCTGGCTACATCAGGCACCAACCTGCTCGAGTTGGCCTCTGATACTGCTGAGGCTGCTGACAGTGGGATGGTCATACACACACAGTTAACAGAATATAAAGAAAAAAAAAAAGTTGTTTCTTTTATTTTTGTGGAAAACCAAAGCAGAAAAACTAAAAGCCCAAACTCCAGAAAAAATCCTAAAAAATACGTTTTGTTTTCTTAAAAAATACTGTATACGTCTCTACTCCTCTCCCGCCCCCCCATAACAGCCCTTCCTGTGTCCGCTTTTCCTAAGTGCCCTACCCCCTCCCACCCCTCCGCTAGCCACAGTGCTTGCTATCGAACCCCTAGTTCCCGTATCTACCCAGGATGCTCACCCACCCTGTGTTCTCCTACCTGGCACTCGCCTTGTCATCCCCCGGGCTTTGGCGAGCCTCATACCCACAGTCCCATTTTCCCAGCATGCAAGAACTGCCTCCCATTTCATTTCCTGGGATTCAATCATCTGCTACCATGCCCTCTCCCAAGGGCCTATTCTAAGCAGGAGCAGGTAAGCTGCCTCCTGCGAAACTCCCGCCCAATCCCCCCACCCCTCTCCCCACCTCCAGAAATGTCACAACCTTCTCCTGGGCAGCCTGAGCCAGGGATAAAACGTCTTCCAGTCTGTTTCTCCTCCTTCTACAGGACCCTACCCCCTCCCTCCACAAAGCCATGCACCATAAGGGCAGACAATCTTTCTCTGGGACCTCATATTCCCTTGACCCACCATCTCAAGGAACCCTGTCCCCAGGCTCCACATTTCCTCCCACTCTCAAGAGGCAAGGTCCTCTCTGCAAGGACCCTTCCCCTGCCCACGCTCCTCACGATGTGTGTTGTCTGCCCATGTCCCCACCCCCCCAACCCCTCCAGGGCTAAGGCGCCCTCTCTCCCATCCGGCCCGGGGCCTCAGCCCCAGCGCCGCCACACGCGTGCTAGCGAATGAGGACGTTGATCTCGGCCACGCTGGCCTCCAGCACGTTCTCGGCTGTGGTCTTGCCGTGCTGCTCCTTGAGGTGCCGCCGAATGGCCGGCTTGTGGGCGAAGCGCACGTCGCAGTAGGAGCAGCGGTAGGGCCGCGCCCCCGAGTGCAGGTTGAGGTGGTCGTGCAGGGTGGACTTCTGCGTGAAACACTTGCCACAGATGCCGCACGAGTGCGACTTGACGCCGCGGTGCACGTTCATGTGGCGGTTGAGGTTGCTGCTGTGGTTGAACTGCTTGCCGCAGCGTGGGCACATAAAGATGAAGTGCTGTGCCCGCATGTGGAAGACCAGCTTCTCCACACCCTGGAACACCTCCGGGCACTTGGTGCACTTGATGTTCTTGAGGGGGTTTCCACTAGAGAAGCCCCCGGGCAGGGGGCCCCGGCTGCCCCCTGCCCCCAGACTGCCCCCCGCCCCCCGGGCAGCCATGGCCACCGCTGCCGCTTCCACCAGGCCAGAGGTGGCCCCCACGCTGGCCCGGCCTCCGGGGATCAACAGCAGGCCCTCCCCTTCCGCGTCCTCAGACAGGCTGTAGCATGCCTTCACCACACCTTGTGGCGGGGCCACAGTGCTGGGGGGCACACTACTCTGGGCCAGCTCCCCGAGGTGGCCGCTCACGTTGCCCCCGAGCCCCAGACCTCCTCCCAGGCTGCTGGAGGGTTTGAGCCGGTGTGCCACCTCCAGGGCTGACTCCACCTTGACGATGCAGATGTCAGACACGTCCTCATCCTCATCCTCGTCCTCCTCCTCGGCCTTCAGCTCCAGGTCCTCGTCCAGCGGGAATTCCAGCTTCACAGGCCGCAGGAGGGGAGGGGGCAGAGGGGGCGGGGGCGGGGGCTTGGGGGCTGGCTTCGGGGTCCTGGCTGGAGGGAGGAGGGACTTGGTGGCGCTCACACTGCTCACCAGGCTGGCCTCACTGACCCCATCCTCTTTGAGGCCTATCTTGGGCTCTATGAACTGGCTGAGGGCGTTGCGGCATTTCTCCACCACGTGCTCCATCTGCAGGTAGGAGGCGGCCGTCAGGTAGTTGACGATGTCCCTGACGGCGAACTCGAGGGCCCCCGTGTAGCAGGAGAGGAGCAGGTCGGCCACGATGCGCGCGCTGTGCATCAGGGAGACCTGCAGCTCGGAGCTGGGGTTCAACAGGAACTGGTCCCGCAGGAAGGGCGAGCAGGCCGCCAGGATGACCTTGTGGCCGCGGAACTTGAGGCTGTCCGCCACAATGGTCACGTCGCAGAACCGCTCCTCGGCGCGGAGCTGGTTCATGTTCCTCAGCGTGGCGGCCTCATGGCCAGGGAGCTGGAAGCGCAGGACTTCCACCCCAGAGGCCATTGCGGCGGGGGTGGGCAACCCTGGGCGGGGAAGGAAACTAGTCAGAGACAAAGGTCTCTGGGTCTCCGCAGCCCAGGCCCCGGGCCCCTCGCCCCCATTCCCGCCCAGCTCAGCCCCAGCAGCCTCAGTTTCCCCAACCCTGGGGAGGCGCGGTCCCTCGGCGAGGAGGGAGGCGTGGTTCCTGGGGGCGGGACGGCGGCGTCCACACCCCCCAGTCACGGCAGCCCTCGAGGCTGGGGCGAGCTCGCACGCCCTCCGGGGAAGGACGGAGTGAAAAGGGGAACCGCGGCCTCGGGGCTCCGGGCTTGGGGGGGGTGGCCCCCGTGGCTGGCTGCTCACCCCGCCCCTTGCACCGCGGCCTCCTTCCTCGCCCCCCACCGGCCTCCTGCACGCTTCGTGCACGCCCCCCCGCCTCACGCTCAGAGCTCGGTGGCACGCCCCCCCAGCCCCACGACCCTGAGTGCACGCGCTCTCACCTGGCCGGGTTCCGCGCGCTGTTTTTTTACCCCCAATCTCCCCCACCCCCCCGGGGCCGGCGGTGCCCCCCACACACGGGCAGGGCCTGGGCAGCGCGCAGGCGCGGAGGTGCGCGGGGCGCGCGCGCGGGGCCGGCTCCGCGTGGGCGGCAGGAGGAGGGGCGCGGGCAGCTCGCGCCGTGTGTTCCAGGCCCCGCGCGCGCGGCGGCGGCGGCGTCGGCGCGGACTCGGGGAGGAGGAAGAGGGGAGAGGGAATTAAAGGAGCAGGATCCCACTCTCCGACCCCCCTTTATTCACCAGCACCCCCACGCGGTTAAAGGGCTGGACGGCCTGGCCTCCCCTTTGGCCAGGATTATTTGTCCGCCGGAGCGGAAATACGTTCCACACTCCCCTCCCCGCTCGTTCTCCCCCTCCTCTGTGCCTGGGGCCCGCGGCCCGTCTGCGCGTGCGTGCCAAGGGCCGCGCCGATGCCCGCGCGCCCGGGCCCGCCCTCCGCTCCCGCCCGCCCCGCGCCCCGCGCCCCGCGCCCCTCGCCCCTCGCCCGCCCGCCCTCCGCTCCCGCCCGCCCCGCGCCCCTCGCCCCTCGCCCCGCCCGCCCTCCGGCCCCCCGAGCGCCCCGCGCCCCTCGCCCCCTCCCTGCCCTCCCTCCGGGCCCACGGGCGACCCGCGCCCCGCCCGCCCCTCGCCCCCTCCCTGCCCGCCCTCAGGCCCCACGGGCGACCCGCGCCCCGCCCGCCCCTCGCCCCCTCCCTGCCCGCCCTCAGGCCCCACGGGCGACCCGTGCCCGGCCCGCCCCGCGCCCCCTCCCTGCCCGCCCTCCGGCCCCACGGGCGACCCGCGCCCCCTCCCGGCCCGCCCTCAGGCCCCACGGGCGCTCCAAGGCCGCGCTTCCACCTGCTCCCCGGGCAGGGCTGCTCCCAGGGTCCGCGGAACGGCCCTCGACTGTCGGCGTGGGCGGCTGTGGCCCCACGCGCGTCCTCTGCTGAGGTTCGCCCAGCCAGGCGTTTCCAGCTCTTATGGAGCTAGTAGTAACCTCCCTGACCCTCCTGGACTGAACAACGAGCTCTCCTGCCTTCACAAAGCCAGACTCTCCTCTGTGTCAGTCTGCTTAAAATCACTCCTGCTGTCCCCTGTATTCCCTGGCTGACTTCTTGTCTACTTGGCGTTGCCCTGAACGTGTCCATATCACCTCTACTATGTAATTAACCCCAGGACTAATAATTCTGATTTGGTGATTATTTGCTTAGTATGATTCGACCTCCTTTCCTCGTCCTTCTGCACCAGCCCGTCTCCAGACCCTCTCATGACGCTGGGCCTCAGTCGTTCCCAAGCTCCGGTTTCCAGCACCCCACCGCCTGCAGCCCCCAGCACATTGGCACCCACCCCACCGTAGGCATAGTTCCTCACACAGGTGGAGGTGAGGGAGTAGGAGTACCAATTGCATTGTCCTTACACCTCAGGTTTTTTGGTTTGGTTTTTTAGGATTTATTTATTTTTGTTGGAAAGGCAGATGTAGAGTAGAAGAGGCAAGACCTTCTATCTGCTGGTTCACTCCCCAAGTGGCCTCAACCGGAGCTGAGCTGATCCCAAGTCAGGAGCCCAAGCTTCTTCAGGCCTCCTCGTGGATGCAGGGGCCCAAGAACTTGTACCAGTCTCTGCTGCTTTCTCAGGCCACAAGCAGGGAGCTGGAGGGGTGGTGGGATCCTGGTGTTTGCAGGAGTATATTTAGCTCATTGAGTCCTGGTGCGGGCCCTACACCTCAGTGCTGATGCAGCTGCCCCTGTGTGTTCGGTGGCCCTTTCCCCAGGAGGTTGTAGAGTTCTTGAGTGTGGCAGTTATGCTTTGCAAAGACCAGGCAATAAATGACATTTGGAGTCATGGCTCTTCAGTTCAGTCAGCTTGTACTCATAAAAAGCTTCTTCCTTATCCAAAGTCACCCAGTGTCCTGGGGAATGTCGTCACTCTTGGCCTATCACTTTGAATCCTCCAACTTTTACAGTCCTGTTTTCTGTGTCCTAAAATGCCTGCTCTGCATCAGGTCCTGTGGAAGGACAGGTCCTGTGGGTCAGGCTCCTAGGCTGAGGACTAAAGGAGTTGCTTAATTCCTGAGTCACAGTGTCTTAATCTTTGAGTGCGGCCCGATTCCCCGTAGGCCCTGATTCTGTGAGTGAGTCTGGCATGCAGCTGGTACGGAATCAACCTTAGTTCCTTTCATCTTTGCTTAAGTGGGCAGCAGACTGGGAGTTTTTAAAGATTTAATTTTATTTTTGATGTTTACATAGCACAAGGATGCATACCTATAGAGACAACTGATTAAGGTGGGGAAGGTTGTGGCTTGAGGGAAGGAGGGTGGAACAAATGCTTTCAATTTCTTTTCCTTCTGTATCTTGGGGCAGGAACAAGGCCTGCTCCTAGCTGCCCAATGACATCAGCGCTGGGGATGGGGATGTATGCTTGATATAAAAAAAAAAAAACAGTGTGAAGAAGGATGTTCCAAGGGTATTGCTTGAGTGATTTTGTTACTTCTGATACTGTTGGTTTTGCTGCACCAAGATTGAGAAAATCCTTCCAAGGTCTGTTGGCCGACAGAGTCCACCCTAGTACATCCCCTCACCCAGATACAAGCTGCCCATGCTCAGCTGGAGAATTATCCAACCAATTCTGTTCTCCATCTTCTGACATAGCACTCCACTTTCTCTGCAGGCCTAAATGAGCTGGCTATCATGTCCTCCATCTGGGCTTGCTGTCCATTGCACAGGTCTCAGTAATTGAGGAGGTTCAGTTCTGATACATGCATTTCAAGGTTGGACCACAAATCCTGTGGTTTTCCCTGTGGCTAGAGTGTTGAGTTCAGCAGTCAAACGGAGGTGTCCCAGACAGAGAAATTTTCAAAAGGAGTTTAAAAAATATATATATATGTATATATATAATTTTTTTTTTAATATATATACATATTTTAAATTTGGGAGGCCAGCACAGTGGTACAGCCAGCTAATCCTCCACCCTGTGGCTCTGGCATCATATATGGGCTTCAGTTTGTATCCTAACTGTTCCACTTCCCATCCAGCTCCCTGCTTGTACCCTGGGCAAGCAGCAGAGGATAGCTCAAATCCTTGGGAGCCTGTGCTCATATGGGAGACCAAGAAGAAGCTCCTGGCTCCTGGCTTCAGATCAGCTCAGCTCTGGCTGTTATGGCCATTTGGGGAGTGAACCAGCAGATGGAATACCTTCTCTGTCTCTTCTTCTGTCTGTATATCTGGCTTTGCAATTTAAAAATCTTTTAAAAATGATATTTTTCTGGGCTCAGTGCCATAGCTTAGCAGCTAAAGTCCTCGATTGCCCATATGGGTGCCGGTTCAAATCTCAGCAGTCCCACTTCCCATTCAGCTCCCTGCTTATGGCCTGGGAAAGCCGTCGAGGACAGCCCAAAGCCTTGGGACCCTGCACCCATGTGAGAGACCTGGAAGAGGCTCTGGGCTCTTGGTTTCAGATTGGCTCAGCTCTGGCCATTGTGGTCACTTGGAGAGTCAATCATCGGATGGAAGATCTTTCTGTCTCTCCTCTCTGTATATCTGACTTTGCAATTAAAACAAATCATATTTTTCTTTTCCTCATTGCCACACTTCTCTAAAAGAATAGTTTATGTTCCAGAAAGAACAGACATGCAAGAAGGTGTTGAGATGGAAGTTGGCGAAGTTTTAGCTCCTATTTGTCAAGCTATTTCTCAATTCTGAAAATGTGGGTGAGATGGGGGCTCCATCTCAGACTACCACTTAGGACAGGTGATGCTTGGAGGCCAAAGAATTCTAAGTGTTCAGCCCACCTGGAATCAAGCAGATGTGTACAGAATTGCTTTCCTGTGCAATTGACAGGGGGGTGTTTCCCACATACTGCATTTAAAGGGGGCTAGAATCGTCTAGGTCTAGTCCTGTTCTTTAGTTTCTGCTGGTGTAAAACAAGGGGTTCTATATATTTTTTTTCTTTTCTTTTTTAATTATTTTTTGACAATCTTTACATAGTTAATTAGGGTAAAAAGGTTCAAGGGCTATAGGAAAGTGGGTAAGACTATTATCTCCATATTGTTTCGTTCATGTTTAAAGGGGGATATTGAGGGAGAAGCCCCACCCAGTTTTCCACCCACCCCAGCTCCTGGATGTTGGGCATGCTCCGAGGTTCTTGCTCAAGTGGTTTTGATAGTTCACCAGTTATGAATCACTGCTAATCTTGCCACTCCAAGCACGATGAGGTCTTTGAAAAATCCACTAATTGACATAGTCCATCATAGAGTCTCCGTTTACCCAGTATTTCGCTGCCAACATATAGCTGAGATGGTTGATTGACCTGTTCTGTCTTTTGTCTTTTCTTCGTTAGGGTTCTGAGTCTGGCATTTCGATTGGGGAGATCTCCAAAGAAACTTTGTCTGAGGTGTTCTCAAACCAGATTCTTGTATGAACTAGCAAGTACAGGGCCCGGCACAGTCCATCGCCCCGATCAGCTGGTGGTTGCAATCGCTGGGTTGGTTCTGTTTTCAGCCCCGACTTTCACTGGAATCAATGGGTGTTGCAGTCCAGCCTGGTTCTGCGCAGCACACACTCAGCCCTCGCATAAACCAGTGGGAGCTGTAGCCTAGTTGGAGTAGACAAGGGGTTCTAATGTCCCTAGATTATGGTACCAGCTACTTCAGTGTGGTGTCAAGGACAGAAAATTCAGGATTGCTGGTGGGCTCTGAAAGAGCATCTGGAGATGGAGGGGAGGGAGGTCTGGCTTGGCAGTGAGGTTGCTGCTTGGGATGCCTGCATTCCTTGGTGGACTTCCTGGGTTATGGTTCCAACTGTACACCCTATTCCAGCTGCCTGGGAATCAGCAGGCAATAATTCCACATGAAACCCTGATAGAGTTCCTGGATATTTCAGTCTCAGCCATCTTGGGCATTTGGGAAGAGAACCAACCAATGGGAGCCAACTCTTATCTCTCTGCCTTCCAAATAATTAAACATTTTAAAATAAACATGTTATTTTTTATTGCAAAGTCAGATATACAGAGAGAAGGAGAGACGGAGAGGAAGACCTTCCATCCAGTGATACATTCCCCAAGTGGCTGCAATGGCTGGTGGTTAGCCAATCCAAAGCCAGGAGCTTGGAGCTTCTTCCAGGTCTCCCATGCAGGTGCAGGGTCCCAAGGCTTTGGGCTGTTCTCCATTACTCTCCAAGGACACAAGTAGGGAGCTAGATGGGAAGCAGGG